TCGTGTGTGGGGTAGTTCTTCTCATGATTCTTTAACTGTCTGTAAGCATAAGCAATAACTTTTATTCCCTTTCTTAAGTTGCTCGAACTATGTAGCCTTAGCTTCCCTATCCTCTCCTGATATAAAATTAGCTATGAAGGCCTCTTCAAATTCTTCCCAAGTAGGCGGACCATCATCTTCATCTCTTTCCTTTTCCCACATCTCAAACCAAGCGTCGCCCACATCTCTAAGCTGGTAAGCAGCCAGCTCCACAGCTTCATCATCAAATGTCTTCATCGCTCGGAGGGCTTTCTTGACACCCTCTAGCCACAACATTGGATCTTCATCAACTATAGTACCACGGAACAATGAATGACTCAACTTTAAAAATTCATTCACTCTTGAGGACTCAAAATTGTTTTGTCTATTTGATTGAGGTGGAATCTCATCTTTTCTCTCGTTTTGGTTAGCCATGAAGGCTTTAAACATCTCCATAGCACTGTTGACAACATTAAACATCTGACCCACCTATGGAGATATAGCTGTCTGAGTCGGAGCTGCTGTTGGGGGCGACACTAGATCCTGAGGTACTGGCTCATCATGCTCCACCCCTTCTTCGTGTTCAACTCGGGGTACTTGAACCCCCTTTGTGGATTTACCCTTCCTTTTCTGAGTTGAAGCCTTATTAGTTCTACCTTGAGCCACAATAGTAGCAATAGTTTATTGAGTAGCATCCTGAGTGTCGGTGTCAAAGTTGTGAGTACGAGACATTTCTGCGAGTTTTGGAAAAACTAATACATTAGATAATTTTTTAGAGGTAGGCTCTACTACACGATCTAAAGTATGAATAAAAATGAGGCTTTTCCTAAATTCCCGTAGCCTCGTATTTATAAGTATGGTGCGCTTCATACCCATAAATAAAACTCTATTGACACGACTTCATAGACCCCTAGTACTCCAGAAACCTGAGACTCTGATACCAAGTTTGTCACGACCGATTTTCTGAACAAGCCGGGACCGGCACCCGATCACTAAACATGACCGAGCGAACCATCTACGCTTATCAAATCTATTATAACTTCAAACTTTATATGCCACAAGGTAATATTGTAACTAAATACTTTTAATTAATTTAAATATCTAAAATAAATCAACCTCAAAACTTTATTCGTAGTAACCAATGAAATACTGCTAAGTTATTATCAAAAAACATCTGAATCTTAACCCATCGACTGTGTTTATGAAGCCTCTACTGATAAACTGACGCACTGCTCAGGACATGAGATTTCCTGGCCAGTTCTCCAAGTAAATAAAGAAATAGCTAAATAATGACGACTCAAAGGAGTACTCCACGAATAAAAGCGGAGCTCACCAATAGCAGTGGAAGTGAGGGAAGTCCTAACTCGTAGTTTGCTCGCTGCAAAACCGGTTCCTACGTTGTACCGCAGACCAACGTAGGTTCCCAAAAGAGAACGTCAGTACCATCCATTGTACTCAGTCTCAACGACAGGGAACGAAACTTTAATAACATATACATTACGAGCAAAGATTCTAAATACATGTAAAACATAAAGCTTATAAGAACAATTCTAAAATAATTGCATAATAGCAGTTTATGAATATTCTAAAAGAATTTTTTTTCTTTCTTATAAAAAAAATACTTCACTTTATACTTTGGGAGTTTCAACTATTGTGACTTATTTTTCTGTCTTAGTCACCGGGTGATCGACACGGGTTCGATCCCAACCTGATCGAATAGGCCCAATCCACGAGGTGCCACTCGCTTCATAGTTCTCAACGCTCATGTACCATACCTTAGCTTGGCTAGGCAAATTCTCAGCAACGAGACCCTTGGCTCGTGTGCTCCCTACTTTGGCACAAGTAGTTTCAGGAAGTCAACGCCTTGGTCAGGACCCTCGGCCTGGACGATGACCCCTTCTTAGAATAAAGGATACTCCCAAAAATTCTTTCTTTCTAAAACCTCTTCTTGTGACTTTTCAAGTCTAAATATTTTCTGCAACATCCTATACATACTCATACCGGTATCCTTAAATATAAGGCATGACATAAGAATGAAATAAACATTCAAAAGCATTTCTAAAGATTCTTGCTTCTTCATGAATTTTCAACATGAAAATGGCACATAAGAATAACACAAAAATCTGAAAATTTATGCACATATATCAGAATAAATCATCTAAACTTTAGCTAGAAAATAATTCTAAGCTAATAGGTACTCACTTGCTTCAATTAAGTACATATCAACTCATTTAAGCAATTCATCAAACATTTTGTATGCGTACTTTTGTGAGTTAACCACTTTTAGTAAAGAGTTATATCAACTCACCTCAAAACTCCCTGAGCCAATACGTAGGCCCCAATCCAATTTATACCCGTCAAACAATTGATTCTATAACAACCAGTGCATTTGAATTAATTTAAAAGTTTCACACCAAAACATGGAACTTACTGTTGATACAGAGGAAGAAGGGAATTAACTACTCAATTCTTACCTATTACTATTGTAGGATAATTGACAATAGAGAATTTTATATACATGGGTTCAAGAATAAGTGAGTTGTAAAGAACCCTAAAATTTTCCGTGCGCGAGCAATTTCTAGCTGCCTATGTTTCGTGGCTCTCTGTTTCGTGAGCGAACAGAACACTAGTTCTTTTTTTTTTTAAATTTAACTTAACTAATAATTAATGATACCCACTTTTAATAATTAATAATATTAAAATTATTAATATTCCGCTAATTGTATATCCAATTATTTATAAATAGAAAAATAACTTAAAAAATCAATCACAAGGGTTTAAATCCGTAATAGAAGTATAATTTAAGATTAAAATAAAAATATTAAATTCTATATTTAGCGTGTCTTGAAACTTTTATAGATTTGAGGAGTGTTACACTTCAGTTTTCCAGCAGAATAAAAATTGCAGCAGCTGTTTAAGTCTAACTTTCTATCCATTAACCATCCGAATTCTCCCGGACACAAACCATATATGAATTTCAATAATAAAACACGCTACGGACCTGCTCGCACACTCAAAATACTGAAAAAGGTCTTCTTGACCCGATATTGACCATGGTCAAACTCCCAAATTTCCCAACCTTACTAGTCTCTCAACCAATAATCCTAGAAAAAATACACCCAAGCCCCTCGGGACTCGTCAAATTATATAAACAAGTCCTATAATATCATACAGACTTAGTCGAAACCTCAAATCATATCAAACAACGCTAAAACCATGAATCATACCCCAATTCAAGCTTAAGGAACTTAAAAATTTCCAACTTCTACATTCGATGCCGAAACCTATCAAATCAATTCCGATTGACCTCAAATTTTGCACACAGGTCACAAATGACATAACAGAGCTATGAAAATTTTCAGAACTGGATTCCGACCCCGATATCAAAAAGTCAACCCCCGATCAATCTTCCCATGAATTCGACTTTTGCCATTTCAAGTCTAATTCTACTACGGACTTCCAAATAATTTTTCGGACATGCTCCTAAGTCCAAAATCACCATACAGAGCTATTGAAATTATCAGAATTCGAATCCGAGGTCGCTTACACATAAGTCCACATCTGTTCAACTTTTCTATCTTAAATTTTCAATTATGAGACTAAGTGTCTCGTTTCACTCCGAATTCCTTCCGGATCCGAACCAACTAATCCGGTAAGTCATAAAATGACTGTAAGGCATAAATTGAGCAATAAATGGTGAAACAAGATTATAATACTCAAAACGACCGACCGGATCATTACAGTAATGAACTTAGACAAAACTGTCTAGTGTGTTAAAAATAAGTTGCACTCTATGTAGGTAGAACTCTCTTCTTATTAATTTCGAAGGTCTTAGTACTGTCATATGATAGATTACAAGCAGAGAAAGTTAAATATCATTAATCCAATTCGTGAGTAGCGCACTATTTCACTAATCCAAACACGTTTTACATTGGGTCCTAAGAGTCGTGTGGCTAAAATGTCAACATTTGATTAATAGTTTGAATTGGGTCTTTCTTGCTTCTCTCTTAACAGTATGAAAACTATTTAAGTTATGGCGTAGTTAGTACACAAGTAATTCGGAAAATGCGGTAGAAAAAGTCAGCTATGAACAACAAGTCCATTTATTTGGAAATTCGTAATTAGAAGCTTACATCCTTTCAAAAATACTACTTCCTTAAAAGCTTACGTTGTTACATGCATGGAGCAGATCTACATAGAGCCGAGGGGTGCGCCGCCACCCGCAATCCTCGGTCGAAACTCTGTGTATGTATCTAAATATGTAGATGAAATATCTTAGATATAATAAAATGACACCTAATGAACAAAATCGTCACCGGGTGCCAATGATAAAGGTTCGAAAATTTCTCCTAGATACTTTTGGACAATTAATGTGAGGTGTCATATGTTCACATTTTATTTTTATTTATTCTTTGTTTTACTTTATTAATTCTTTTTTACCTTTTTATTTATTTAATCTTGTTTGACTTATTTATTGTGCTCTCCTTTGAGTACATTAAAATAACAAAGCTCTCTTATTTCCCCAAAATCATTTCCCACCCAAAACCCTCCCAGCTACGGTGTTGCTGCCCCAAACTGATTATGGTAGTATTTTGTTAATTGGAAGATATTTCCAAGTGCCGGTAGATGAAAGAAGTGACTGTCTTTTATTTTTTTCATGTAGAATAAATTTAACGATAATGGTCTTTACTGCTGGAAATTTTATAATGTATGCTAAGTTGTCATAATTTTTTTTCGTTCGATATATTTGTCTGTATAAACTGAAACGATGAATAACTCGAATCAAAATCCAAAGTTGATCAAACTAAACATTTACTCTTTTTGGACCGTATAAATAATAATACGTCTACGTACAAAATAATATGGCACCCGCAACCTCCAAATCCTAGATCCGGCTCTTTCACTTACATGTTACAAACTTTAACTTGATAACTGAGTCTATAAATTTATAAGGACCAGAAAAAATAAGACAAAAAAGAAAATAAAGGGAAATTGTGTGTTTTTCTTTCAATGTTCAAGAGGAAAATAAAAAAGAATGGAGAAAGAGAAGAAAAGAAAAGTGAAATAGTGAAATTGAATGGGAAATTTTGGTCAACCAACAATTTTCACATAATGTGACAACCATTAGGATTCTCGTCACTAAATGTATCACCAGCTCGGCTACCAAAAGTGTTCGAATTGCCCCTGTAAAGGCTGTAAGCTCGACCATAGTTGTCACAGCCGTGTTTGCGATAGTTATAGGCGGAAGCCGGCGGCTCTCCGGCGTAATAGGTGGACGGGCCACCGCAGCCTTGCTGCTGATAATAATGATCAGTGACATAATTATGATTATTTCTCATCTCAGGATTATGAGGAAATTGCCATATTTCAGCTCTTTTACCAGTTCTCCTCACTGTCTTGAGTATTTTCTTTTGGTCTGCCCATCCTGTTACTGTCACCTTTTGCATGGCCATATCTATTTCTACATTATCAACACCTAAAATTTAGGTCAAAAGTTCACAAAATTAGATACTCCCTTCACACAGTATTTCAAATTCCATCATTCTTGTTCGAGTTTAACTTCAATATACATAACAATTTTTGAAGGAACTTTTACGTATCAGTATCAAGTCATCAAAAAATAATAAAAAGCGAAATTAGCAACTCAAAAAAATAATTAAGCTGCTAGAACTAATTTACCTTTAACTTTCTCGAGAGATTTTCTAATCTTGCTCTCACATCCAGCACAATCCATATGTACTCTCATCTCTGTCATCTGAACTCAACCAAAAAGATAAGACACATAAAATCGGTTAAAAGTTTTTTTTCTACGAATGAAATTAAGATCAGACAGAAAAGATAGAGGAGATGGTGATCATTACCGTCGTCATCTTCTAGATCTTGCACCTTAGATTTCTTTCTTTCTTTGGTTACAAAAATACAAAACTGCTGCAAATTGCAATGTACCTTAGTCTCCACCCTTAGCTTGGCTTATAATCGAATGATTAATGAGTGAAAGACTTGAACATTTATAAATAATAATTTCATTCCTCCTTCATCCCCGTTCCCCGCACTCTCTCGCTCCTACTTAGAAAATAATATATGTGCACCGACTTTTCTCTTCTCTTGCCATTGCAGCAAGAAAGGATACAAGTGGGGCTATTCTTATGGATGAAAGGGCGTTAACTGTCGATAAGAAGCTGTCACTTAACATGGACACACTCGAATATTTTTCGCTTGTGTTATTAGAAAGTTAAGAGCCTTGACTTTGATAAAATGATTGGAATAATAGTGAAATAGATTAATCCGAATAATGATCAAAGATATATATACTTTAGGAAGTACGTTAGGGCGGAAAGTGGACGGTTGAAGGCGGAATTAGCGTTGAGAAAATGCATGTGGAACAGGCGTCGCGTGTGATTGTAGCGATCTTATAGCACGTCTTCGACCATTCTAGTACTCCCCACAAATTATATCTTTACAATTAATTAAGCAGTCATTTGGTAGGGTATATAACAATACTATTAAATATGGTGTATTAACAATATTGTGATTAGTATTAATCTGATTATTTCTTATTGATTGTTTGGTTTTGGTATATTAAAATTAATTCTGTCTTTATACATTCTTATTCGTATATTAAAAATCATGATATTGCTAATGTCATAGTTTGTTATGGAGTACTGAATTGAGTGTATTATACATAGGTTGAAAACACTGACAAATAAAAAATTAGTAATAACAAAGTTAATACATATATTATTTTTCCTAATACATTCTACCCAACCACCCACGTATGTCTAGGCAAGCGGCAAACAAAAGCCCTGCAAGAGGGGAAGGTACCTCGAGGAAAACAATAAAGTAATTGTGACATCTTTATTCAACAATTTAAGAACATCTTTATTCAACAATTTAAGTTTCCACTAGACATGTTAGTATTTGCACCGTGTAAATTAATCGACTTCAGCAAACAGTCATAATTAGTGGCAAAAAATAAGGCTAATATACATGTGCATTTTTTGCGTGTATTTGTGATGCTTCACAACTGCATCCTAGTCGTAAATAAGTGTGGCTAAAATATGTGTGATGCTTCACAACTGTTTGACCAAAAAGTGTAATTTTTGATTAAAATAACTCAATTTATATAATAATTGGTTAAACTTAGTTAATAATAATATCTCTAGATGTTATTTTCAAAAGGTGACTAATGCTGGTCAGATCTTGTGGGGGATTAACAACAATATGCATTAACTATTCCAAAAAGTATGAGCAATAATGTAGCAACAACTAGCTATAAATAACAATAAATGACGTTTAAGTAAATAGAATGAGTGATTCACCCAATAAAGTATGAACTAGTTGATTATCCCTCCTGACAATGATGAGTGACAGACAAGTCCCAGAATGTTCGAATTATTCTCGGATCTGAAGGAAGGGTGTGGGATAATACGATCCAGAATCTAGATGAAAAGGTAGTGTTTGTATCTTTGTAAGGGAGAGAAAGAATCTTCAATTAAAAGTTTGTTCTTGTCAAATGAATGTCACGTGCCTTACACCATTGTCTCATTTTCTATTTATATGAGACATTTTCTTAATAAACCCTAATATTTACTAGAATATTCTCTTTAATATCCTATTTCGAAAACTAGTCGTTACAGATTTGCCAACGGTGCTCGACCTCGACCCTTGGTGATATCTCAGCCACGAACCTCGCTGCTTCCTAGTCGACCTCGGCTGATGACGGCTTGAAGACTCTTCCTTTGGTATTATCTTGTCTTATATATTTTAGGGCATATTTTGACCTATACAGTTAGTCCCTCCGCTTATTGAGGCCGGCCTCAGGCGGGCTTGATGAACGGATTCTGTTTGTCGTGGTCGAGATGATTGGACGAGTGGGCAACATGGTCTTTCATGAGCTGCAACTTTTGGGGTTACGTTGTTCCTGGATCAAAGTGACGTCATGACATCATACGTCATTATGTTGGTTTTCCTGCAGCGTTGCATCATTTCGTGTGCGTCTGTTGGTTGAATCTGTCGCTTCGATAGTGGTGCTAAGTAATGATGACCTAATTTCTCGATTTCGATGCCTGAGATCTTATAAATAGGAATGTGAAGACACGCACTCAAGTTTTACAGATTTCCTATATCAAAACCTTGTGCCTTCTTCTTCTTATTCCATTATTGTGCATCTTCTTTCCCTGCCTTAGCGATCCATGTTGTTTTTAACTCCCCGTTACTTTGAATACCTTATCTTTCGTTAGAACTATGTCTAACGTATCTTCTGGTCCCAGTGAGGAAAGTTACCCGATTCCTTTAGCGATGGTTTTCCCTCCTCACACGGATGGCGTCTCTGCTGCCGTTGAGGATGAGAACTTCCCTACGGTGAAGGAGATAGTTCCTCGTGGTAAGAAAGTCAGGTGTAATTTTACAAAGGCATCTAAAGCTGGGCCCGAAATCTCCGAGTCAGCAATGAAGGAGGTCGATTTATTAGAGCTTAGGGCTAAATGTGGCATTCCCGCTCGCATCGAGTTGGTCCCTGCGGGGCGAGATATGGTACAAGTCCACCGCCTCGGGTACTGTGCGTTGTACGCTTACTCTTTTCATGTCGGTCACGCTCTACCCCTTCTTCCACTAGCGGAGGAGTTTTGTCATTTCTATAGCGTTTGCCCGGCTCAGCTTGCACCGTATATCTATAAGCTCATCACGATGCTTACTAAGTTTGCGGAGCTGGCTGGAGTCGAGATCACTCTTCGGCATCTGGCGCATTTATTCGCCCCTAGTTTCTATAGGGGGTGATGTTGAACCTTCGCCACCGAGAGGGCAAGTGCCTAGTGGTAAAGATGGATGACAAGGCTAGCCGCTAGCTCTGGTACAACTTCTTCTTCGTAAGAGCTGAGGACGTGGTGGCCAATGCAGACGGCTTCCCTGAAACTTGAAACTATACTCGTAAGCGTCTAACCTTTCTGTGTTGAGGCGTTTGGTTTACTTTGCTTAGTCGCGAGTTATAATCTTTTGCTCATTTCTTATGCAGCCAAGACTTCGCCCCCTCCCTTGGTCAGGGATATTTCTGATTGGGTCGGTCGTCTCCTCCCTCACATCGCGGGGATTCGTGAGTGGCCGGGCTTTCTCAAGAAATTTGGGCTTGCTCCTTCCTTGACCGGTGAGTTTCTTTACTTTGGCTTTGTGGTTACTCATCTTTTGTGGTTCACTCTTGTTGACCTTCTTTTCTTTTGCGCTTCTCTCAACTCCAACCCGAGGGCCTTCGAGGAGGCCGAGAGCTCCTCTACCTGCATTCGTAAGAGGAAAACTGCTACCTCTTTGGCTTCTGCCCCTTCTGTCATGCCCCAAACTCGGGGAGCACGAGCGGCGCTCAACCGAGAGAACCCGGCCGAGCAAGCCTGTTAGATTACCTTCTACCCAAACTCATCTATGAATAAAGAAGAGATGTACTCCATTACTCAAACTCTAAAAAGATTCTATTAACAACTTCCTTTTCATTCCCATTAGCAGCTTCATTCATAATTTCTAAAATATTACGAGTTTATAGAATTAATGAAAAAAAAATATGATTGCCAAATACCAACATTTCTAGTTCAATTACCAACATCAACCACAACCTACAACCTGTCTACGGAGCCTCTAAGTACAATAGAAGAGTAATAGGGAAATGCCGGCAACAAGACCCCGACTATACCTCAAAACATAGTGCATGGGAAACAAAAGATACATGACCCCGAAATGAATAGGGCTCACCAAGTCAGCTGAAGAAAGTGTACCGCTATCACAGATCAATGCCGCCTGCTGTAGAACCACCTGCATCCATTAAAGATGCAGCGCCCCAGTAAAAGGAGCGTTAGTACTGTCGAATAGTACTAGTATGTAAAGCTAAAAGTCCTCTCTCAAAATAGAATGACCATATAAGAAAAGACAGCACATAGAAACAACAAGTCACAATCAACAATATCCAAATGTCCAGTTAAAACATAATAATTTTCGAAATACGAACTTCATATACAATTTTGGTTGGGAGATCATTAGCACCGATATACCACCGTCTTTGTTAGCACGGAGTCCGATCACGCCCGATCGGCTAGGCGATCTTCGTACGAACAATGTGGTTTGACGAGTGATGCGAAAGAAAGTTGTTACCAAGAGTAGTACCACCATGGGCGCAACATAGCGTCCGATCTCCACTCGATCAGCTAGGCCGCCTTTCCACATATGCCGTGTGGGTTGACTTTTCCAATCCACAATTGTTATCAGTTTCATCCCAATTAAGGGGAATAATATCACAATTTTCTCCAATATTTCAATTTCATCCCAAATAAGGGGAATAATCACAATCCACCCCTACACAGGCACGTGTAGTTTCAGGTGTGGGCCTTATGACCCACCCTTCCTCGATTTTGCTAATAATGCTCCCAAAAACATTTTTGATTTGATTTGCATACAAAGGTAACATAAATACAATTGTTCTGACCTCAACATCTTTCACATTGTATAAATTCTTTTTAGTATTTCCTGTCACTCACAACAACAATATTTCCTTGGCTCATTTGGCCATTCACAAGATTCTTTATTCCTGGCACGGTGGTCATAATTCATATTCCACACTCTAACCTCTTTCAATTTCAAAGATCACCATCAAATATCAACATATAGAATATTTCAGCAATCATATACCTCAAATTTATTAGTAATGAAAACTTTAAACACAAAAGGTTTCTTCCCAAATAATGGGGCATACCGACCAGCAATGCAAGCACACATCAAATCATAAGCAATCAATACACCATTTATTCTTGCAATACACTTTTCCAGAAATGACAATATACAATTTCAACACCTGAGTATGTAAGAGCTCAAATCACACTGGATATATTTGTAAAGTAAAGCATTAGTTAAAGCAGCCACTTATGGGCATGGATTGAGTACAAAAGATTTTAGGCAATTCTATTTTCAAAATCATTTTTAAGCAATTGAGTCGAGGCTTATTTCATAATCCTTATCACATATTCTCATTTCATTGGCACCACTAGCCACAACTATAACTTAAATTCTTGGCACGTTGGCCACACTCTA